TATATAAGTGTAGAAGTAAAGCGTTTGGTGTAAGCTCCTTTGTAATACATAGTTTAATAATTGTTTCAAAAAGGGAAGAAGAAAAAATCTTAAAATTTGGAGCTACGTATATGGACCAGAAACATAGAATGGTTGTAAAATATCAATGAAAGTAGGATATGTAATTCTCTTAATGTGTTCATTGCATCTGAAAAAAATGAAAAATGACTCAAGTGAATAGTTTTCTTTAAAGTAGTCTTTTGTAATGAAAAGTATATATATAAAGTATTTTAGTGTTAATACAGGTTATATTAAACCTGAAAATCTCAGTTATAAACATTATAAATGATTAGTTAAATATTTCTTGAATTAAAATGTTCTTCAATGTAAGAAGCTGAATGAATCCAAAGTAGCAATTGCACCTGAAACTGAGAAGAGCAATTTGTGGTGTGATCTCACAAACTTCATATGCACAAAAGGAAAATCAAGTTAGAACCTTTTGTTATTAGAAGAAGTGAGAGTTGTTACAACAAGATTTTGTGTAAGAAAAAGATCTCTTCTGGCCTGATTTGCAGAACATAATGTTGTGAAAAATACTTAGTCCACAACAGTTACTCACCTATACTTTGCCCAGTGCATGCAACATTTTGTTAATAGTTGTAGATTAAGCTAAACTAAGGATTAGAAAACAGTTGTAAGAATTGTGGTCCAAATCTGTTTTGCTTTGACTCTATTCTCAATTTTAATTAGGAATTCTGGTAACATTTTCAGTTTCATTCCTAGATGGTGAAGCTCAGCTGGTTCTCATTTCACATAAACTACTTGCAAAAGCACAGGCTGTAGAAGACTGCTTTTTTTTTTTTTTTAAAAACATAGGGAGAGGAGTTTGTGTTTAAAGTAAATTATTTTGCACAAAGGGAATTGATGCTCTAGAATGAGTTTAGTTTGGATTCACCAGTCATTTGCAATTTCTCACTTAATCAAAGCTTCTGATTATCCAGGGACTAATTGACAAGAAGGGGACTAGCAGCTGCTCACTTCCTTTGGAAACCCAGATTTGGGTACTTGGAAGCAGAGATTCCAAATGAGTTGAGACTGATAAAACTGCCATGTGAGGCAGCTTTTCCTAGTTTACAAGGCAGTATGCAGTGAATGTATTTTATCTGCTTTTCTTAACTAACAAAGTAGACAGTACTGTTTCTATCAGGGAGCAGAGAATAAACCATTTCCTCATGACAGATCAGTATTTCAGTGTTTGTTAACATGACCATATTTTTCTTTTCAAATAGGAAAAGACTGGATTTTTTTTTTCTTTCAGAATTAATAAAATTGTCTTGAATATATACACTTGGAGTTTTTGAAGACCACAAACATAGGGCACTAAATCTCTTTTTATATGTAATAGCAAATCAAGTTTTACTTACAAGTTTAGTATGAAATTGAGTGGACTTTGATCCATTTTCTGGAAAATTAAATAAACTGAAGAAACTGTTAGAGAATTCTGATTTCCTTTTCTCTGCAGAAATAGAAGAAAAACTTAATTAATTTCATCCATTGGGTTGTTATTTGAATAGTTCAATCTTTTTTCTATTGTTTGGTTTGGGGTTTTTTGTTTGTTTTTTGTTTGTTTGTTTTGCTGTTGTGTGTGTGTGTGTTTGGTTTTTATTTTGATTTTTATGCACTGTCATTTGGCCCCAGATGCAAGAAACTTCTGAGGTATTTTTCATAGAGACAAATCAGCTTGTAACTGTTAGGGATTAAAGGACTTCTCAAGTCACTAGCCTGAAGTAATTTCATTTTGTGGTTGTTTTAATAAGTAGGTCTGATAAAGGCATAGTTATCAAACAGTAAAATACATTATTAAGATGTTACCTCAACAAACTGCATAGGTTTATTCACACTTGGACCAAATATAAGTAGAAAGCCTTTCAAACAGTTCTAGAAAGCTGCTCTGAGTCTTAACATGAAATACTCTGAAGAAAGACAGGATATGTAAAAGCAAGACACTCGCTATCCCCTCAGGTATCATTGCTGTTTGGGACAGTGACAGTGCACATTAGGGCTTCTGACCTTTCTATAATGACACTCAGGGCCTTTAAAATAATATAAGAATTCTGTTTCATTTGTCTTCTGTGTGAGTACAAATGTATCTAATCCATTTAGTTCAGAGCCAGTAAAATTTGACTATAACAACATATTGTTTCAGGTACTGTTATACTCTAGCATTTGCAGCAACAACTGCAATTTTTCTATTTATTTCAATCATATGAAAGAGTTATTCTTTGGACTGGAAGTAACGCACATTAGCAAAAATTTTAGGCTACAGTTATATTTTTTGGCAAATACTTTTGAATCATTGTTTGCATTCAAGTAATTAATTAAAATTTTTATCTGGAAAATAATGTAGATGAATCTTATGTATGCTCATTATAATGGTTTAACTTTTTTTTTTTTTCATGCTGTAAAAGTAATGAGAATTCACTATTAGAAGACAACAAAAGTGATCATTTATACATACCCCATTGACAAATTTTAATGGCAGTATGCTGAACTTTAGATGTAAATATGTATATAAAACACAGAAGAATACTGAGTTTATGAATGGGTCTGTTGCTAGGTTCAGTTCTTGCATTCAGTTTGTGTTGAGAAAGGCATTTTTTTAATTTACAGGACTTCCAAAAGCTTTCTAAATTAAGTGTCCGAGCAAACCTGTAAGCCAAAAAGATTATATTGGAATATGGTAGTTTTACTGAGCAAATTTCTCTTTCTGGAAATAATGTGTACTTTTTAAGTTTTGCAAATTCAAATAGGCAATCTGATGCATGGAACTGTGGCTGTGCATTTTCTTATCTCTTGCTTAGTCCTACATATCATGTATATGTTATGAGGAGAAATTTAAATTGATTTGACTTACCCTTAATAACATGATTTGATATGGAAAATGGTTAATTTTATGTTTGTTTAGAACTGAGAATAGATGTCTTGAAATGGTTGACAGATGTGGCATGATGGGCCTTGTGGTTGGTAAGAACTTGAGAATGCCTAGCATGGACAGTAATAAAAGATGCTATATGTAACAGCAGATTTATAGAATCTCTTTTGTATCCTGTGTCATCGAACGTATCTACTTTACAGAAGCACGGGGCTGGGCAGTTCAGAACTCTTTTGTAAGCCTCTAAAAAGTTTGCAACAAATACTCAAAACTGGATACACAATTAACCAAAACTCAGATGTTTCAGTTGTGGTGTTAGAGCAAAAACAGTAACAGCACAGGCAGATGTATATGAAATAGAAAAGCTGAGGGCTTGAGTGGGTTTTCAGTGTGGTGATTCTGTTAAGATCCTTTGCTAGGTAAACATGTTTTTCCATGAGCATTTGCTCATCTCCTCCATAGAACAGGTCCTTGAGGAGACCTATATATCTAGTCACACATTCATTATGGGCTGCTTCATCCTTCATCTTACGTCTAAAGTCAGCTTCTGGTTTCAGTGGGTGCTTAATCTGTCTCTAGACATCTTGGTATTCATTTTTCATCTAGGATCCACCAGGGGGAAAAAAAAAAAAAAAAAAGATTCCTTGCCACCTGTAATAATGTTTCTTCAGCTGGAGATATTATAAGTTTCTCTCACCTATGTGAATTTAAAAAATATCAAATGTTGCTTTTGGTTGTCAAATTGATGTCTCTCAACATTGCTTCTCTGTATAATGCTTGTTCTTATATTTAGAAAATTATGAGAAAAATATGTCAATCAATTAAGTATGGGAAGTAAATACAATAGGATAATATATCATTCTCTGTTTTAGAAATCAGTTGTGGCACAATATTTGATACAGCTACTTCCCTACTTTTTGGCCAGTTCTGCAAGGAGCAAGATGTCCCATATTCTGAATAATGGAGGAGCAAAATCAACAAAATGTCATTTTAGATCAGGATTTAACTTTCTATGGAGAATTTTTGCCTCTTATACCTATTCTTTAGGCAGTGAAAGAGAGAAACTTGAAGGCAGCTTTTTCCAAATATATTTTCATTAATCTTCAGGAAGCAATCAATATATGACTGTTTTGTTTGTAAGCATAGGCATTAAACTGACACAGCTGTTCAAATTTATATTTTCACTGATGTGACGAGTAATGTGGGATATGGTGCTTTTCACACCATGGTGTTATTCCTAGTTTAATGCTCTTAATGCAAGCAGATTCATTTATGTTGAATTTGCTGTTTCTTAGCAGAAGTATATTTTTCATTTCTTTGTTTCCCACAGACACTTTTCTCGAAATAGCTACTGAAGCTTAAATTTATGCAAAAATACTTGATACTGTCAGTTCTGGTTAGTGTGAATTCAGCATGTTTGTGTTCACAGATGCAGAGTGGGTCATAATAAACCAGCCTAGTGATGTTTCTGGTTACTTATAAATTACTGTACAAAATGTTTCAAAGAGGGAAAAATACTAATATGAAATTAAATTTTACAGAGTCAATAAAGCTGTCTCTTTAGTATTCATTTTTAAGCCTACTACCTAAAGCTGAGTTTAGACTTTGCAGGAGTCCTCATATCACATTATTAAAGTTGAGGCAAATTCAGGATAGAGCTTTATAACCCGAGTAACCCAAGAGTAGATCATTTCATAATGAGAAATAATCATAAGTATCTCTTATTTATGTCTAATTGGGCTGCTTCTCTGTGTAGTCTAACCCAGACCCCAGCTTTTTACCTTAGAAATCTTGTGGATGAAAATTGTCTCTCCTGATTGCAGGAAATAGATGTTCTGGATTGTTAACCCTCCTCTTCATTTTGAGGGTCTGTTTCAGAAAGAGGTTTCTCAGTGTCCACTGGTGCCAGTTCCTCTACCACTCCTCACCTACTTTCATGTCTGTCCATTTTAAGGAACATTTAGTGTTCTCCACTCTTCTAATCTTCCAAAGTGAATTATTTCTGTAAAGATTCATTGCTTTTACTCTGTGTGGAAACATTCACATATTCACCTATGTTATCGTATATGTCTTTTTTATAATTTTCTAGAGGTCAGAAATACCCTGCAACTTGAATGCTATGTGTAGCCTTGGTCATCTCATCTCAACAATGGTACAATAAAACAAGACAAAGTATGTAGAGAAGAAGCAAGAGTGTTGAAAGGTATGGTTTGGGTTTACTCTGAGGTGAGACTTGCAGGATAACAACTCTTCAGTTAAACAAGGATGTTGTAGGGGAGAAAGAGGAATAGAACAGGAAAGAGACTGTAAGATAGTGGCATGAAAAAGTGAGCAGTGATTAACCACTGTTTGATTTTTTTTTTTTTTTTTTTTCCTGTAATGTCAGAGCATTCACTGAAAAAATATACAAAATGGATTTGAAAATAAATTAGATAAATCTACAGAGGGTAGGCCCTTCAACATCTATGGAACGTGATGGTTCCTATCCAGCCTGTTTCCCAAAGTCTCGTGCTTGCTGATTATTGGGAAAGATAGAGCCCGAGACTGATCACTATGCACCTATGTTGCACTGACCATCATTAGGGACAGAGCACTGGGTCAGATAGACTTCTAGTCTGAATGAGCATGACTGTTCTTATGGTGTCGTAACAGTTCCAAAAATACATAGCTGTTTTCTGCCTCTGAGTCATATGAATTTGATGGATACCTGTCTTGATTACACTACAGGCAATAATAAATAGAATTCAAGGCACTAAGACCAAGGACTGCATGGGTTCTAAAAACTAAGCCAGTTGGCTGAGGAGTGTTTGCTCTTTGTTGGCAAAGCATCTGATTTTTACAGCAATCTGCTCTGTGCATCAAAGAACTGAAGAAAATGAACACTGTGAACAGATTTGAAATTTGGGCCTCCATACATTTCTTTGAGATATGAGATCTTCTGGCCCTATGTGAGCACTGGCCTCCTTCAGTGAAACAACTGTGTTTTCAGACTAATATTCCAAGTGGCACCTGCAGAAATTAATCCAAAATCTCTGTTTCACAGTGCTCATACACACTTCTGTATACCTAGTGGGATTTATACACGTGTACTCAATAGATTAATAAAGTAAGTTATTAGTAGCATTTGTTCTGCTGAGTTGGTTCTGTAACAGAGCAAGAAGAATGATTTCCATTTACAAAACTTACTGAAATGCAGAAAGGCAAACAAAAATTGAACACTCGGATTTTCCATAAGGCACTGGCCTGATCCCGCAGGTTGTCATGGCCAGGCTGAGAAGCCTTTGTTTCAGAGAGGTTTGAAAAAGCCTGAGAACTATTTTTGAACCATAGGAAATGTTATTAGTATTCCTAATACTCAAGTTTTAAACAATGTGGTTTTTTTCCAGCAATATTATTTGTCTAATTTTTAGGATGTTTATAGAAGATAGCTTTGAATACCTCTGTTAATCGTATACACCTAATCTCTCTCAATTTCTGTCAAGTTCTTGTCCTCTGTTTTACTCTAGGTCAAAGAGTTCATTCATGCATGAACTCTGTGTTTACCATTTTATTACCTTTTCTCACCTTTCAATTTACTAGAGCATGAATTTACTTTCACATTATCATTCATTGTATCAATTGGCAGTTTATGTTTTTCAACTCTGAGGTTTTGTTGGGTTTTTTGGGTGTTGGGTTGTTTTGTGGGTTTGGTTTGGTTTTGTTTTGGAGGGGGGGGGGAGACATGACATTGATGGGATGTAGTTTCCCAGGCATTGGATCTGAATTTAAGTAACTTAGAAGACCTATTTGAAATGTTGACCTTCATAGAAGAAATTTTGAAGCTGTGACCTTAAGGCCAGTGAATACCTGAGGTTAGATGGGGAAGACAAAGATGTGGTTTATTTTAAATGTCAGATTTTGGGGGGTTTAACTCTTCTGAATTGTAACACCTTTATAACTATATGTGAACTGCAGTACCAAATCTGACTTCTGTATGCCATTCATATTTGCATTTTTTTTAAGACCAGAAATGTTCACATTTTGGTTCAGAAACTTTCTTTTGATGTATTTTACCAGGTAGTGATTTATTCAGTTGATGTTTAAATCCAAAGCATTTATTCATAGTGGAGTTTTTAAATTTTAGCTAGCTAGAAATTAGAACTAGTTACATGACAACTGAACTAAAATAATTTGGCTTTCTTTGTTTTGGTTTGTTTGTTTGGTTTGGGTTTTTTTTTTGTTTTTTTTTGTTTTTTTTTCTCACTTAGTACAATAATAAGTAATGAATGCAATTTTGGTTTTAAGGTTTGCAAAGTTGGAACCTATAACATTTCCCTTTATACTGTGAATAACAGAAAACTTAAATTATCTGGTAACAATTTAAAAAAGCATCTCGTAATTTAATTTTAAGCTTTTTTGAACAATGTTGAAAACAACACTGGAGGAATGAAGGGCTTCCTACAATTGATAGAACTGCTGTAGAGAGGAGTTGAAGAAACCCCACTTTGCACGTGCTGTTCTGTCAGCGTCAGCTTTTGTATGTAAGGACGAGGCTTTGTACAAACATGAGTCAGGAAATTTGGTTATGGTACCAATAGCAACTGTAACTTAATATCCATGAGTCCTGTGGAGGAGTTACTATGAGGTGATTTGTGTTCTTAAAGCATCATGAAGTATCAGTCAGATCATTTAGCATATTTTTAAGGCTGCTTTCTTTTTCCCTTCCCCCAAAATTGAAATTCAGTCTCATATTAGCAAACTTAATGGGTTTATTTTTGAAAACAGATGTTTGGCTTTGACTTTGCTACTTCATAATGCATCAAATTTAACTACATTCAGTTCCCTTCATATTTTAAATCAAATTATTTAGTATAACGTGTTTAAAAGCAGCATAGTTCTTACTGCTTGTCACTTTTATCAGCAGCACAGGAACGTGGTGGTTTTACAGTTACAGGGTAATACCCAGCTGCCTCCTTAAGTTAATTTAGCTTATTTAGTAGATGAACTTAGTTAGCTCATTTTCATCACGGAGGTACTGCACTAGTGCTGTGCTTCACCTAAGGATGTCCCTTCATATAGGGACTTGCAGCAATATGTTGACTAGAGACTTTGAGTTCTACCATCCATCTGAAATAGTTCTGTATCAGGTCTTCATTCAACTTGGCTAATCTATGTTTCTCTAGAGTTTCCTTACTGTGAACCCTTTACACTTTCTAGCTGAAAATAAATATATTTTTTAAATTCCCATTCTATTTATTCTTAAAAAAAAACCCCACCCTACAGTCTTGTTTTTTATTTATTACATAAAGGGTAATCAATGCAGGAAGGGTTCTATTTATCCTTCTGCCTATTCCAGTGAAGCATGTGAAGGGAAAATAGAGCAAGTGGTGTCTGTATTAACAAATAAATTAAATTTGAGCTGTAATCAGATGAATAGGATTTCTGGATGGCTAGTCCTGGAGGATGCTGTATAAGTAGTTTCCCTTAGGCGGTTGTTCTACTGATCATCAGAAATTCTTTTGTTCACATCAGCTGTGGATGGTTATTTAGGACTAAGAATTGATTTAAAGAGGTATGTCAGGTTTTAAAAGGCCAGGATCCAAATACGTGTTTATAACTTTTTTTTTTGATGATGTCATGAGAACTACTGAGCCAGGTTGGAGAGATGAATCAGCAGCTGTGTTCCGGTGGGGTGACTGGATACAATGCAGCATGTGGCAGGGGGAGAAGCAAGGTGGGAAATAGCATGGGTGGAAATTGTGCACATTTGTTCATTCCAGCTCAGGAATTGTCTTGTAGCTGAAAAAAGTGTGGAGGACTTCTAAAGCTTACCGAAGCCACTTGATATTTCATTATACCCTTAAGTACAAAGCAATGTGATACTTGAATTTGAATCTTTAAACAATTCACAAACATGTATTTATTCATCCCAGGGAAAAAAAAAAAAAAAAAAAAAAAGGTAGTTATTAGCTGTCTCCTCTAAATGTAAGAGGAATTTGTAGGCCACTCAAAGCATTGATACTAAGGCAAGGTCTGGATTTCAAGAGTTCTTGTCAAAAACCATACCCCCTCTCCACATCTGATAAAGTTGGCAACCTCATTATTGTGAGCAACCTTGGAAAAATATCTGACTTAGGAGTTGCCTAAATGTTCACGTTCTTTTCCCTGGACAGCTGCTGGTTCAAGGCAGCCATGAAAGATTCAAATTTAATTAAGGCTTTTTGTAATTCTGAAGAACATCTTGCTCATAATGAATACATCTGTTAATATTACATTCTTTTTGGACACAGTAAGCTATAGCTTTACATACAGAAAGTAGGTTAAGAAATTTGCAAGGGATATTGGCACTAAGCACTATAATTCTACCAGAGATTTTTAATTTTATTTGAAATGCAAATCTCAGATTGGGATTTATAGGGTAAAGCTAAGTGAGCAAAGTAGGTTTAGGGCATTCAGACCAGTTTGCTCTGTCTGCACTTCCTGGAAGATCTTATTACTTAGGTAATTATCACAAACAGGGTTGCAATATCTTTATCTGTGGGATGGGCTCTAAATTAGTATGAGTGTGTGGCTTAGAAGGGAATATAATAATTTAGACTAACATCTGCTTAACAGTAAAACTTTAGCTATTAATAGTGAACAATTTTTACTGATCAGGCAAAAAAAAATTATTTTCTTCTTAGGGATCTGAAAAGGTGAGTAGATTGGTTCTTATATTTTTCTAGTATATAAATTAATCTAATAAATCCTGAAGATTAGAATTTGCTAACATTAAAGCTTGTACTGTAATGTTAATGATAGGTGGGGTTTTTGTCATTCCTTAACAACACTGAAAAAACTTATTTTTCAAAATATATGTATATTTTTATATAGGTAGGTAAGTCATGGTGTTCTGCATCTGTTGATGTCATTCAGGAATTAAAACCATAAAAGGAATTGCAATTAAAATACCAGCAAATAGATGGATACTGTGTGAGGCACTCAACATGCCTTGGGATTTATACAGGTGTCTTGTTCTTTAATAATTTCTTTAAAAGTCCACAATTGCAGATATTTTTGTAGAACTAGATCATAAATGGTAACTGAATGCATATAAGATCTAACAGGCTATTTTCATAATATTGCTCAGAAAGTCAAACTGTAAAAAGGGAGTGCCTGGGAAAGTAAGACTTGCCTGAAGCACAAGCAACAGGTCTGTCTAGAAAAAGATGTCAAGCAAGTAATATTACATTATCTCTGTGGAGCAAAGAACATTGCTTTTATTAATAAATCATTTGATCAGCAGGTTTTACTCTAGCTTAATGCAGTTAAGCATCAAATACACTGTGGATACAGGTGAGAAAACAGTGTGGAGGTTGGGAGGAGATAGAAGACATAGTTCTGGTGGTATTTTTCAGCAAAACTTTCTGGTTTGTGGCAGGTCTTGATTGAAGATTTTTCTATATGTAAAATTTAAAGTTTGTAATGTATCAGCATTTTCTGTACCTTTTTCACTACAGATGGTCAAATACTATATTTATGTTTAGAAGAAATTATAGTCCTGAATTTCTTGTTAATAACAACTCTGTGTTGCTGTAGCTGCTTTAAGCACATGGAGCAGTAGTTTACAGCACAAATAAGAGCATGTAGTGCAATCTAGAAATAGAAACTCTATGCTATTTTTAGTATTTTTCACTCTTCTTCTCTCTTCTAATTTTGAGCCAGCCTACTGTCCCGATTACCAACACAGCTGGTGGCCATAGACTTCTGGGGGAGCGGCTGGTGGCCACATCTGCCACAGGAACAAGGTAGCCTAAGTGCCCCATTGCCAGCTGCTCTCTGTAGGTGGATTTCCTTTCACTGAGGTGATTATTACTGACATTATGGTTGCTTTGAAGTAGGGGATATATTGCAAGGAAGGAGGTTCACTGCAGTTGAGAATAAAGTATCTCTAAAATATTTAGTGAATCTACTAAGCTACTGGCAGGTAAACATGACAACAGAAGACGAAAGTCTACCAATATCAACAAATTGAAGCAACAGAATCAGAGGGCGTGTCCATAAAGTTCAAGTGTGCAAGCATTCTGAAATTTTAAGTTTAATATCAGCTGACTAAATGACTTTCTAGATTATTCTGAGCATATTTTTTGTTATTGCCAGTGCCATTAAATGACGTATTTGTGTCAAGTGCATTTTGGTGAAATTCAGTTAAATTTTGCATTGTTCATACTTTAATTATTATTTTGACAAAAAGGGAGACCAAAGCCAACCATTCATGTACATTAATCCTTGCTTTGGGTGACAGTAAAGATTTTTCTTCCCGCTTCTGATAAGGCATTCTCCTATTGCCCTTCAGATCAACTTGATCTGAAGTGTCATAATAGCTAAGCTATTATTTAAAACTATAAATGGCAGAGCTCAAATTAGAACATAGTTTCTGTCTCTTATTCTTGCATCTGTCCCTCTAGATAGTGGTGTTGTATACGTTGACTAGAATGGACATAGGGCACACACCTTACTGATAACACAGAGGTTATTAATAAATTAGTTTTATTTGTATATATTACACCATCACCATGGAGAAAAGCCTGTATCTCAGGTTTCTTCATTTGTAAGAGCATCAAATGATTTTGGCTTGTTAGTAAAAATTTTCCTTTGCACTGGGTTTATTACTGAGATTGAACATTTCTTATGATGCAGTAATTTGGACTGAGCCTTAAGTGTACTTTTAGGGAGATTTTCTTTTTTTTTCTGACAGACCCTCTGAAACAAAAAAATGGGTAAGCTTTTATTTTAAAGCTGACTTTATCCTCTGGCTGGTTATTCTATGTTCTAGTGTTTAAGGAGGCTCCAACTGAGAGAGGAAATGTGGGTGGGTTAGCTACCAGTCATGCAGTTGGCCATGGTGGACAGTGTCTGAACTGTCCCTGGAAGAACACAGTAGAAAAATATTTTTGTCTATGTGAATTGTCATTAGAGATTATTGTAATATTTATTTAATTTCAGAATAATTGAATTCTTAGCATAGATAATTGGATAATAAATACAGATTAGTAATTGGAATAATTCCAATAGCATTGGGAAAAATGGACCCACAAAGGTATGAGCATTGCTGATATGTTTATCTACAACCTGCATCATTTGAAGGATCTCTCTAGACATTGTCAGACAGGTGTCTTGTGGTGCTTAGAAAGCTTCAAAATTGAAGAGTTTCGAATGACAGATTTAATAATTTGCTGTATCCAAAGCCAGAATGTCTAAAGACTGAATTGAGCACTTCATGGAGGAGAAATTAAAATTCTATGATCCTTTAAAGGCTTTGTCAGTATTCTGAGTTGTGTGTTAGAGCACTGCAAAAATAATGCATAAGTACAATCACTGTTCATCACTGTGTGGGCACTGATTTCATACTTCAGTGATGAAGTGATGTGCAAAAGGGCCTTATTTAGGAGAGGATTTTCTCACTGGCAGTGAAATGGACAGTGTAAATTCTTCTCCCCTTTGAAATGTCATCTGTTGACAGTAGTGATTACTACTTGACTAAGAGTCCAGCAACAAGTAGAGACTAATTTTGGAACATTTTATTTGTTATCCTTGATGTCAGATGGTAACATTAATGTCTTTAATCCTGTTTTAACAAGGCAGCAGTAACTTCAGAAACTTCATGCTTGGGGCATTTTGGTTATTGGAACAGAAATAACTGTATTTTCAGTTTCATGAAAGAAGTGGTAGAAAGACTGAGTGGGGGTACAGAAAGGAGGAGTAAAAATTATTTCAGAATTGTCTTTACTCTTAAGGCAACAATCAAAAAGCAGAGCTCCTACAGAGTTCTGCTTGTAGGTTAAGCATGTTTTTCACCATATGTTCATTCCTTCATTAAAACCTAGTCAATCCTCTTTTTCCCCACAGTGCAAAAGGTTGAAATGCACTGAACTTTGAATCTAGGAAACCACTGTTAAGGATGAAGGATAGAGGAGTCTCAAGCTTCCAGTATTTGAGATCGTTTGGTTTTGTTTCCATCTGCATTTCCTTGTTTTAGTAAAATCTCATTTAAAATAAATAAATAAATAAATAAATAACGAATGAATGAAACTCAGAAATCCCAAGTTATCTATCAAGAATACAAACAATTTTGTTAGTTGTCATATTACTAGGCTGTATTTTTGCTAGTGTGGTATTTTGCTTGTGTGGCTTAATTTATAATGTAACAGTGACATATTTTTCAATCATGACCATTTTATTGTAATAGACATGCGTTCTTTTGTCTTTTCAGTAGAAAAAGTCAGAAGAAATCACAGGTGATGGCTTCTGATGCTAGTCATATGCTGGAAGCAGCTTTGGAGCAGATGGATGACATCATTGCAGGTATAATAATGCTTTATTTTACACCTAACTATTTTGAGATTTAACTATGTCTTTTTCTATCCTGTAATTTTCCTGCTTGTTTGGTTTTTTTTTTTACTTTTTAATTATTATTCTCAATTTGTTAAGTTCTCTGTGACACGCAGATTTATCTGGTTCAACAGTTATGTGAAGAAAATTTAAAGTAAAATAGGGGAAGAAACCCTTCAATTCTACCACAGACGTGAATATTGAAGTAAAAGAGATTTTATTTGCTCTAATGCTACATGGTAATTTAAACACATCTTAATTATTATAGTAATATGGTAACATTCCATATTGTATGTGTTAGTTTTATATTTTGTGTGTCTTTTAAAAAAGTTGTCACCAAGGCTTCTAGTTAGCTGGATAGCATATATCTGTTTTTTACACACACACATACACATATAGATATACATAAATATGTATATGTATATAAATATACATAATTTTCTTTATTTATGATGTCTATATTTAAAATAGGTTAGCAATTAATTACCATCATAGCCTAACGAGTTAGAATGTGTATCTTTTTGTTGACATTTATATCCAGGAGTGGAGCCATGATTTTCTTTTTAGACAGCTATCCACTAGAATGGCATATGATGCAAGACAGAATTTGCTGTCTTTTGGTGCTTTCATGGTAAGACAATTAAAATATTTTCTCTCAATATTTCAGAATGTTCTCTCCAAGAAGTGAAGTCGATTTCTGTGGTTAGGACTCTGTAGCCTTGGGGTTTGTGCTCACACACCATTCAGTATGAGCTCCTAAAGGAAGTATCTGGGTAGGGCCATGATCTCACTTGCACACAATGGAAAAGCATTCACTAAAGCCCTTTTTTTTTTTTTTTTTTTCTTCCCTTCCCATAATGATGAAGAAGATGACATCAGCCTCTTGTTGCTACAGTTGTGTTTCTCCCTGCTTTTCTTCCTGCTCTTCTAGTAAAGCTTTCTATCCAGAAACTAATATGGGGATTCAAATATTGCCATCGGACTAGCTGTGATTAGGCAGGAAGCCATCATCCAGGATTTTTAGTTTAAAGAATTTCTAGATTTTTTCTCATCCACATATGAGTCATCATTTTATTCTAAATGTACAAGTTTTAACAGACTGCTAAGATACACAGAAGTGTAAATGTGAATATGTAATATATATTAACTCCACATATAAAATTTCACACTAATGAAACAAGCTTGAGGCAAATAGGAAAATTTAGACATGTATTTCCTTCTCCCTTCTTTTTCTGAATGCAAAACCTTATTCAAACAAGACTTTAACCAACACATGTTAATTGGGATTTTATTTTTTCACCTCTTACAAAATACGTAAACAGATAGTCCGGGAAGCACTGAACTTCCCTGAGATATGTAAAGGCAGAACAAGAAAAGCAAGTCCCAAACCATAATTCATGAACTAGGGAACTGAAATAATTACTTAGCCATTGCAAACATTGGGTTATGATCCTGGCTAGTGCCATAAAAGAGCTAAAGTAACAGAAGCCCAAGTCCCTTTAATTATGCTATGGAACCTGTGCTCATAAATCACCTGCATACATCTGGAAATTTTAATTCAATATCTCTCTTCTGTGATGATTTATACATAGCCCAGCACACATTGGTGATAGCATGGATTCCATTCTTTAGAAAAATCAAGAGAAAGAAAAACAGGCATATAATATTTAAATTGGTTTTCAGATTAGACACTTATTTTCTTCCAGGAATTACCAGAGCTTTTTTGGTATGTTTTCATTTGAAAGAAAGGTTTGGAAAGCTTGTCATGATTTTGAGGATTTTCAGGTTTGTCGTTCAGTAGCATTTCATATGCTTCCATCTTTTCTATTAATAAATCATGCTTCCAACATAACTCAGACTGTTTAGGATCTCTTCTTATGAGCAATAAAAGACCACGTATTCAACAAACAGATCTATTGACTGCTTATCTAAGCAGTGCTATGTTTTGTTTGGAAAAAAATTAAGTTTTACTTGAAGATGCCATTTCATATTCCATTCAAAAAAATGTTGCAGACTTACAGGCTGTATGGTTTTTCCACTGAGAGGATAACGTTGCTACTCAGTAGCATTTCCATGAAAGGATGCTGTGAAATATGGTGGTTGTGAGAATAGTTCTGGGTAAGACTATGGGTGTTTAGTGTTGGGTATTTTCTCCATGGTGTGGAAAGATAACCTTGTATTATGTGGCATAACTGATTAAATGGCAGTATATGACTGCCTAAGAAAATCACGTATTTCTTCTAGTTTCATTCTAGAAAAATAATTGAGGTCAGAAGCCAGGGGGTTTTTATGTTTCTTTTTAATATTCTTTTCTTTTTCCCCACTCATTTTCAGCTTGTTTGTGTCCATAATGTTTTAAGGTTTAATCTTGATAAATAAGGAATAAAATTAAACTGTTCCAGACTTCCAAACAACATTCTTTTATCTCCCTCACTTAGTTGCCATGATGGTGGAGGCAGTGATACAGAGAAGCAAAGCAAATTATAGAAGAAATATTCTGCGTAAATCAGCAGATTGCACTTCCCATTTACAGCTGTTTAGCGGTATTGGTGCCCAAGCTCTAAAACAAAAAGATTCAGACATGCTAGTGGCATGTAGAGTTTGTTTCCACGGTGCATGGATAGGTCATGAACAAATTTGCAACCTCTTCAAGAGAGTTGACTTTATGACTTCATATTAATTACATTTTTAGTCTAATGTCCACTGATATTCAGTATAATATGGAAAACAGGCTTACATAAAGATATCTAATGGAAAAAGAACCGAGATAATTCCTAGACAATGCATCTATCAAGCCTCATCAACGTTAACTGAATACTTCCCATATGATTTCAGAATTATATCTACTTGTACAAATAAAAAAAAACCACAACATACTGCTTTATTCCTTATTTTTAGTTATAACATAAAGTAAAAGCTCAGTTTTGTGGGAAGGTTGTTTACCATATTTATTTATTATTTTCCACTACTAGAAATAGATAAGACATTTTAAGACAGGTTAAGTGTGTTCTGGTCATTCTCTTCTAGCTAATGTTCCTCTGTGTTCCAGAACTAGTTCTTGAATATTCTGGTGTGACTGAAGGACCAAATATATCTGCTGGAGCCTATACTTGGATACAGTTATTATCCCAATTCATCTCAAATTGAAGAACATAGTAATTATTCAAGTTTGAGTCTCTCTAATTCAATCCAGTAAGTTTCTGTATGCAATTTGGGCAGGGACTGGAAAACAGGAATGTTCTCTTGTCCTGTGTGGCAAGAGAACAAATAAGGTAGGAAAATCCTTCAGAAGGGGGACTGGAGAACTGTCATGAAACAAACTGGGACTGAGAGTCTTCTAACTGCAGATTTATATATACCATATTATGCAAATATTGGACAAATTGTCTGTGCAAATGTAACTGCTCTTAGAGTAGACTGGAAACAGAAAAAAAAAAAAAAAAAAACAGCTGTTCAGAGCATGTGCTATTTCAGTTCGCTGATTCCAGATTATGTGGATATCTCTAGGCAGCACTCGATTCAAAGACTAAGGCTAAACTTCATGGCTATTGGAAACTTATGTAGCTGATGAAAAAGATGTTTCCTTTGGAATGAGGCCTGAGTGGATATTAGGAGAACCATACGCTTCTCTTGGCCTCAGAAACCAGTGTTAGGCACAAAATGAGCATTAATAACTATTTTAGAGAAGTGAGAAGTCCAGCGATGTGTAACTTCAGATAATTTTTGAAGTTGGAGTAGATATGGACATATACATATTCAAGATCAGCATTCTCTCTATTCAATGATAAAACAGTCCTGGTTTCTTTTACTAGCTGTAGTTATTATTAAAATATTAGCTTGTGGTCTTGTCCTTTAAGGTAAGAACTAGGCATGCAAATATATCTTAAAAATATTTACAGATTTGCAATCCTACATTTAGCCTTCTCATTTTAAATCATGTCCCTTACTCCAAATGAGCATAGCTCATACATGATTCTGATTAATCCAAATAAAAAAATCTCACTGTAGACTGTACATCTCAGTGCAGTACAAAATGTATTAGTGTTTGAGCGCATGAGGGTAGGATTGTGAAGCAAGATTAACAAATTGAATTTCATTGGGCTTGATCAAATTTGACAGATAGGTCAGTGTTCCCAAGTCTTTTATGCTTCAGTACATCTGTACTGATAACCAACCCTTATAGCTATATAAATTAGGCATGCTAAATGATAAGCCTTATTTGACTAAAATAGCAAAAAGGGCTAATGTGATTGTCAATGGACATGACTTATCCATTAGCTAGAATGACTTGCACTCCAAACAGAGGCTTTCTGTAAAGAAAGCGCCCATATGTCAGATCTGTCTATGCATTCTTTATTTGAGGTGCATGCCTTTGGCACTGTTTCCCTCTGAGGTTTGACCAAGTCATTACTCTCCCTTTTATTCAGCCTCTGCCCATTTATTAAAATGTATTTCTTTATAAGACTATAGATTTTTATTATCTGTTCTTTGCAATATAGCCTAATTAAAATAATTTTTATTTTACTTTATTTTACATCAAACTGCTTGTCTCTGTCAACAATCTGGAAATGCATTGTTTCCCTTTGTGAATAATGACCATAATTGTAAGATCCAAAAACTCCAGTCATAATATTATAGTGTGCTGCGGCTCCAGAGGTTCTTCAAATTCACCAAGTAACAAGTGTAATTATTGAGTTTCCTTTTACCCAGAGGTCCTGCAATTATTGCTTACTGAAAAATAATGAGAAAGTTAAATGTGTTATCACATGGGTGTGTATTAACATCTCAGTATTAGTACTGAAAGATTAAAAAATATAAATCATTTAAAAGTTTGCCAAGAAGTTGTCCAAGTATGGATGTTTAAATTCCCTTCTCTTGAGGTAGCAGAATGCTTGTGTTCAGCTCATTGTTTTGGATGTGTGCTACAAACTCAAGCACTGCCCACACCCTTGCTGAAAAAGGGGACTTTATAA